TGCCCCCACGAGTCCACGAGTGTAGGACTGGACGTATCCTACGGTTGAAAGTGTAGGACACCTCTTGTACTACAGTTATAGCTGAGGTACAATGGTGCCCTACACTTTTAACTTGGAACACGTCTGTCCTACACTTTAAACTGCAGTACACATTGGTCCTACACTTATAAGTGCAGTGAAACCAAAAGAGTTTGAAAAGACATCGTTCTCGGAACTATTTTGATAACAAGACGAAAATTCAAAAAAACAGTTTTTTACTGTTTTTTACTCGGTTTTTTACTGGTTTTTTACTTTCACTTCAAAAAAACGTTTTTTTTTTATCTCTACCGCGAGCACTCTCGCGCTCTGAGACTGGCCAGCCCAGCCCAGCGCAGCCCGCCTCCGGGCGTAAAAATGGGTTTGCGGTGTGATACACCACGGCTAGACCGTTCGGTTTTTAGGGTTTATATTTTGCTGGGTTGTAGACCAAACCGTAGTCTACAATGACATCAAATTCAATTTTCTCTCTCATCAATAGTTCAGCTGTAGTTTGAAGCGCCGCAAACACTTTCTGCCGAGGCCCGGTCCCGGCCGCGGCCGGCCACCCTCAAGTCAAAGTGCGAGCGAGACCGAGGAGACAGGCAGGAGACAGGTCCACATCAGTGCACAATAGGGTCCGGCGGCGGTAATCCGTCCGAATACTGCTTGCCCCGCTGCCCCCCGGAGCAGTGAGTGGGAGCGAGAGGGAAGCACTGTACCTGAACGCGGCCACTGACCGGGCCGTGTCGAGCCGGACCCGCCCGCCCGTAGCCCCGCACCTCCCCTCAGACCCCTCGTGTACTGCGGGACGGTATGCTCGGAAATCCAAGGGGCTCGGAGTGCAGGGGTTCGGCCCGATATACACCACTCCCAAACCGGTTCATTTTTTAATTTCATATTTGATAGGCTTGTAGATCAAAGATAGACGCACGACGACACCTATTTCGTTTTTCTACTGGACCACCCGTTAAGTTGCCTTAGTCCTCCAAAGTTGACTGTAATTTTTCACAATTTCCAGGGGGTGTAGATGCCAGAGGAGTGATCCGATCGGAAAACAAAATAGATGCCGTTGTAGAGCGGCAAAACTACTATGAAATGAACGTCGCGTGGATCCGATCGCATTAAAAATATGGATGTGGTGTATATCGGCGTTTTCCGATTTTACGAACTTTGACGGCTTCTCCAGCCCACAAATTTTAAATTTGACAAATTTTGTTTACGGTGCGTTGTTGTGCGTAATCTACTCTGTCGGACAGCATTCTCAGCTCAAAACTTTTTTTGGGGGTGTAAACGCCTTAATGAGAGAAGCAACTGATAGCAGGCGATAAACCTGGATGAACTGAACAGGGTCAGGATGTGTGTTACACCCAAAGGCTTGCCGAACATCTCCAAAGAAGTGCTAAGGGATCAGAAATAAATTATGTAAGTAAAACTTTTTGCACCAGACAAAAAATTGGAAAGGTAAAAAGTGAGGGGAGGGGAGAGTTTTGGTTCTGAACTGACAGCTCACCTCAATGGCATCTTGGTTCATCCTTCTTGTCATGACATAACTAAAATCATGTGTATTAATTAAATAGTCAGACATCTCCAGTGCACTTGTGAGTGTCACATATAAACCGTACTGGGTTTGGTGGGCAAGTTTTGCAGCTTGTTTCCCCGGCATTGCAGCCCATTTAACCAAATAATTTAGGAATTGGTTGATCACCTGTTTAAAAGTTATTATAATATATAATTCTATGCTTTAATATCAGCCTTGATCCTGTGCTATTTGTCATTGTCAAACCAGGGTTGAACTCCATACCTGTCTCGCACTCTTTTTCTTTTTAAAACCGTGTTCATTTCTTTCTACTTCTTCATCTCCAGATTCATTTTCTTCGTCCTCATCCAAGTCATCATCTGCCCCTCTGATGCTATCCCAGGGAGTGTTTGCATTCATAGCATCAATAAGGGCATTTACTCGGCGAATAAATTTTATGGTGGGACCACTGTCTTCTAGGCCTTGGTACCCCTCTTCTTTATACGATTCCATAGCATCTGCCACACCTCCACTGAAAAACTGAAACAAGTATTATGAAAATTTAAATGCATTTTTAAATAAGTATCTTTTTATTTTTTCACCACAATTTGAAACTTACAGTGAATGCCATTCCTACATTCATGGTTTGGTAATTGTGTGGATAGAGATGGTCTCTTGTGAGTTTGTAGCAGCGCTGAATGGGTTTATCCCTGGCATTGTCAGCTTGCCACAAAGCTTCCCAGTGAGAGAATTTCACCGTACCTTCAGGTGTAACAAGCTGCAGAAAATATCACATATGTAGACTTTCAAAATTTTATTTAGTTTTGGATAGCTTAAAATATTTTTTCTACTTACATCTTTGACATTCCCTTTATCTTTACTGGGCAAAATCCTACTTTTAAGAGATTTGATTAAGTGAGGGAAGTCTGAGCACATATAAATTCTTCGGTCAGGATCACAAGGATGAGCAAAGCTTGTTTTACCCTTTATACTGCGGTCTACAATTGTCTGTCTTTTCTTTTTTTTGCAGTAAATGGATTTTTTAGGCCCAACTCTGTCCACATTTGTCTGTTCCATGAGGCGCCATCACAGACCCACATGTCAACATGGAACCCAGCCTTTTCCAACAAACAAGTTGCTTCCAGAGACAGCTTTCCAAGGACTGGTCCCTTTACCGCACCTTTAGATAAAAAAGCCCCCACTCTCTGGAACCAAGGTCCTTTCCATGGCTTAAACATGTACACTAGAGCATGATCACCAGGCTGATCTTTTTGTTCCCCTGGTGTGTGATCCCCAAGGGTGACAAATCCCTGAATCTTTAATAGATTGCAGTTGAAATGCAAACATGGTGTTAGGCACATTTCATCAAACATCAAACAACCTTGTGGGGAGGAAAAGTTACAGAAAAATTAGGAAAAAGTATTTATTTTTTACTACTTCATATAGTTTCAAATCAACTTACCATGGCGCTCATCCACCTCCATCTCTTTGCTTTTCTTTTCCAACATTTCAAAAGTGGCTGGGAGGAATCCATATGCAGGCTTGAGCCTTTTCATGTACCTCTGCAAAGTACGAGGAGATGGTAATGCCAGAGTTTGATCCCTCCTCATTTTTCTGTATAGGGCAGGAGATTTTATCCTCAAGAGAGCACACTCATACATCCATTGCTGTGTGTATCTTCTGCCATTTGGACCCTTTGCCTTTGCACAATGGATACAGGCCAGAACAGCTTCCTTTTGACGAGGTGGTAAGTTTTTGGTAAGGTCTTCAATTTGTGTTTCTTTTAAAGTATCATACTGTACTTGCATTTGTTCTAATTTGTCATTCAATCGTTCAACCTGTAGAAAAAAATACATTAAAAAAAACATTGCTTTGATAAACAAAAATTCAAAAAACTTCAGAAAGTACCTTTCTGAGAAGTGCTCTTTTCTCTCTTTGCACTTTTCTTGATTTCTTTTTTCTTTTCTTATTTTTACCATTTTGTCTTCTTTCTTCTTTTCGAATACATTTCTTCTTTTGAAACACATGTGGCACCTTTTGGCTTTCATCCCTGAAGCCAGAGTGTGGCAGTAGCCCTTACAACTTTTTGAAAATGTTTCTCCAACACCCGTACCTGGACATGGCTTATGTTTGTCTATTTCTTTTATAAAATCTACTACCTCTTGGACATTGTGCATTTCTCTTCTCAAATCTGTTTTTTTGTTACTTATATAAACTGTTGATAGCGTTACCTTTTCATTGCTTCTGGCTAAAATGACTTGTTTTTGTGCAACAAAAATATTGTTATTGTTGGTAAACTCGATGAAAGCGATACTATCTGGACCCTTCACTGAGGTCCACATTGGATGGGGCAATAAGACCTGCTGTGGATTGTCATATACAATATCATACAAACTTTTATTATTCATATCTGCAGTATTCATTATGCCTACTCCATTGCTTTGAGTTTCAGATTCAGGGTCAGTGACATCTAAAATTTGTATGTCTTCTAATGCCTTTTTTGGGGAGGGAACAGATTTGTTGTCTTCACTGTGGATCCTTTTTCTTGACTGACTAGAATCAATGGATTGTTTCCTAAGTGAGGGGTCTTTTCTTTGTTTGGGCAGTTTCACATTCAAATATTCTGGCACTTTTGACTCTTGTTCTAATTTAAATATTGATGGGATGGCGTTAGGTGCTAATGTGGGTTTTTTTCTTTCCTTGAATACACTCCCATCTGGTAATTTAATTTCTGTGTGTTCTCTTATTATGAACTCAGGCAGCAAATGTCTCTCACAGACTCTTGTATTTGCATTAATTTTGTGTTTGGGAATCGGAATTACTTTTCTCCATTCTTCCAGCATTCCCTGAAATAAATGTTAGGAGAAGCCATAATATTCAGGTCATGTGTTAGAAAATGAAATACCGTAATTGATGTTATATATTTTTGTTTTAGGACAGCAGTTAATAATTTTCAAATGTGACTGGAATAGTAATCTACGATTGGATTGAAATTTACAACCAGTTGCCCATGAATTGTGTAGGGCTCTGCTTATCTTTACAACAGTGCAATTATGATTAAGAGGCAAAAAAAATATACCCTTGAAAATGTATTTCAAAAAATTTGACAGTGACCATTCTAAATTATTGATATAGGCTACGGCATCGACGATAGTTCACATCACAAACCACACACAATTCACGCACACTGTTACCAGTCTTTTAACTGGATTTTGTCTTACAGGAGGTGCTTTGAACACCGAAACGCGCTCCTCCGTCGAATCGTAGTTTGATTTGCAACCAAACACAGCACATTTATAAACCATTTCGAAGGGTTACGTCTGACTTCTTCTGAAAACTAGCTGTGTGTGTGTGTGTTGTCAAAAAGTCGTGTCATAAAATCGTTTTCCCGCCAAATGTCTTTAGGGAATGTAACAAAGTGAAAAAGAATAACAGGAAGAACGTTGATCTTGACCGAGGCGGCCCTGCTGTTTCCGGAACGAGCAGGCACACGTCTCTTATTTCTATGATGCGACGCTGCGTCTGACAGACTTATCGTATCGACTTCGGTGTAAGTTCGTTCGAAAGATTATTTCGTCCTCTTCATCTTCATTCCCTACCAGTTTTGTGCTGAAATGAACAAGAAAGGAGCGAGATGCGAAAATAGCCGAGCGTGCGACGGAATCTCGGTCCGCGGCGGCCGGGCGCGACACTAATTCCGATGTCACAGCTCACTGAGTGGTCGTATCGACCTCGGTGATAGCTCATTTTAAAGGTTTTTTAGTGCTCTTTAATCGCTTAGAGGATGTAATTTCGTCTAAAACCAACGGGGGAGGCGTCAGGAGCGAAGTTACCCAAGCGCGCGTTCCGGCGCCAAACTAATTTCGCTGGCAATCCTCTCAGAATTGTCACACAGACTTCGGCTTGTGCTCATTCGATAGCTTACATCAAGCCCTTTAATCGGCTCGCTTTGACCAACCCTCTAAAATCAATAGGAAAGGCGCTAGGGCCGAAAAACCCCGAGCGCCCCATAGCGCGCCAGCCTACAGCCCTGGGAGGTAGGCAGGCAGGTAGATAACGTCCGCGCGCCAGCCTAGGCGCTCGGGCGGAGTGCCGCCACCGTCCCTTAATCCACCTTGGGCACAGGCACATCATTGATAAGCAAATAAGACGATTCGTACTGCCCTAGACTACCCCAGACGTTCATGTTACACACTGCCCCAGGGTACACAGCCTGTTATGTGACCTCGTAGACCGAGAACCGTCAAGGTGGTGTTAGTGACAACGACCGTTTTACAAGGGCTAAGGTGTCTACTTCGATAGAAAATCATTAGTTCGGGGGTTGTTTGAAACTCAACGACCTCAACCAAAAAGATGATGTCGTAATATGATGAAAATTGCCTAAAAATCGGGTGAGCTCAACTTGGCCGTCCTCTCACCACCGTTACAACTCCCCAACCAAGGCGGTCTCGATTGAAAACGACCTCACTGCAAAAAAATTGACAGGTAATGCGGCTAATTCATTTTCCAGAAACGTCTGTCATTCGACTAACAGCATCGCTGTAGTTTTAATGGTTAAAATTTGGTACAGGGAGCAATGTACAGGACCACTGTACAGGCAAGAGCGAACAAAACTGTCTACAGTGGAGCCGTCTTCGTACACTGTACCGTGTAAAACCTGGGCTTTCCGGTGCTACAGCAACAGTGTACTCCGCGTTCTGTACCCTAGGTGCAGTGGCTCAGAGCGGCATCTACAGTAACGCTGTAGATCGTACCGTATCAGACTCTAATTTTTTGCAGTGCTTAGTCATTCAGAACACATAATATGAACATTCACATTTGGTTCCGGACGAGCCATATTCGAAATACGGAGGTCTGTTACACACTGCCCCACCCTCCCTTACAACAAAACAACGAAATAAATTTTAGTGTTTTTGGCATGGGAGTGTACACTTTTAATTAATGATGTGCCACCATAAAATAAGCCCACTCTTCTGCTTAGAACAAATAATTTTGAACCGACGGCATATTATTTTGGGTACATGGCTCTCGAAGGAGGAAATTCTGACGAATCAATAGACACGTTTATTTTTATTGTAGCTGTAATAGTTTAGCCAAAACATTCAAATTATGAAGATTATTGTGCACTTTGTACGATGTGAAATTGCCCTTATTGTAAAATCGTACGTTAAGTGGCGAGAAATTAGTTTAGGAATGTTAATTAATTATTTCAAATATTAACATTGTTCAAACTGTCAACTTTTTAGAAATCTAGCGGTAATACTGTCCGTTTCCCCCTTCTCTCTAAAGTTAGAACTGCCTGTAGCTCAACATTTGATCTGTAAGACCACAAAACATGCTCAGGTTGAAGGAATAAGGAGGTATATCGAGATATAAGAGAAATAGCAAGTTACTGCAGTAATTCATGTATATTTTCAGAAGAAGTGTCCCATTACAATGAATCATACAATGAAAAACAAAACAGTTCGCTAGGAAACACTAAGAAAAACTGAAGGGGGGGGCGCAGCAACTGACTCCCCTCAGGGGGGGTTCCGGGGATTTGCACCAACCGTTTCGTTGTCCAGAAGTGACAACAATAAAACTCTGAAAATTTCAGACCTCTAGCTTATGTCCTTCTTGGGGAACGGACAGTCACAGTGGCGATGGCATAAGCCCGCTTATATAGCTTTTAAGCAAAAGAGCGAGCTAAAATGTACAACCCTGCATGCGTAGCCGAAGTGACGGGCGTTAACAGGCCGGAGGCTCGTATCTTTGTCTACATTTTTGCACTACCCGACTCAGGTGTCAGCGCCGCAGGCCAAGGTTGATGTTTGCCAGGCGCGTCGAAGCGTAACAGTGTTACGTGAGATATCGCGAAGCCTGTTACGTGAGACGTGGTCTGGCGTACATCTATCTTGTATTTGCAACGAACTAAAGAATTTGCAGACTTCCTATCGCAAATAACAAGGTAGATGTACGCCAGGCCACGTCTCGCGTAACAGGCTTCGCGATATCTCACGAAACACTCTTACGCTCGAGGTTACGCTGCGACGCACCTGGCATACATCTACCTTGGCCTGTGGCGCTGACACCCGAGTCAGCTAGTGAAAAAGTGTACACAAAGGTACGCCTACGGCCCGTCAACGGTCCATCGCCTCGACCAAACATGCAGGGTTGTACATTTTTCACTTATTTTCGTCAACAATACCCTATAGCCCTTCAACGGTTTGAACTAGAGCAAAACGGACAAAACTTTTACCGATAGGCCTCTACTGTGATAAGTTACCGCCTAGGACACCATTAAAAATATTTTCAAAAAACATCTTTTTGGGACTCGTTGTTTTTGATGTTTTAAAAATCCAATAGACCATTCCGGTAAAGCGAAAAAAAGAAGAACAGGCGAAAGAAGCAAAGACGAGTATGAGAAATATACGGTGGTGCGTCGGTTGCACGGTCGTATCAGACGGGTAAACGTGACATGTCTGATGTCTAAACTCGTCTCAGAGTTAATGACAATAGTTCTCACTCTCAGGCGACGCAGAATATCTAGTTTACAATGGATTACGTTCAAGCGTTCCCAAGTCGCACCGTACATTTCTCATAGAACGCTTTGCTTCTTCCGTCTCTTCTTCTTACTTTTCGGTTTACCGGAATGGTCTATTTTTGAGCTGGAATGCTCATCTTTGAACTCGGCCTGTCTCTTTATGGTACAAGACGACCCTGAAAATCCCAGGTCGCTAGCTTAATGCGTTCTCGAGTTATCGTGCGGACAGACACAGACAGACAGACAAAAAAGTTTTTCCGACAAGACGGAGTAATAGGCTTCGCTAATCGCTCAGCCAATGAGTTCATCTTGCAAAGAAACATTTTACAAGCTGCCAGAATCCTTGCAAAGAATGTGTTTGCATTGCACAGAAATAATTTGAATTTCAAAGAAATAGTTTGCAAGCTTGTGAAGAACTAGTTCGTATAACAATGTTTCAAAAGTATTTGCAAGCTACAAAGAAAATTGTTTGCAATACGGAAGTATTCTTTGCAAGCTTTTTGCAGTGTATGTTCAACAAATCTATCTGTTTTTTGTTTCAGTTAATATTTCAAGCACTGAACCCAGGAGTTATTATGGACCAACTTGGCGACCTGCTGTTCATAATAAGAATATGTTCTCTAGAATATGTTCAAAAAAGTGGCTTTTCTAAGTCTGAAGAATTGTTCCTCCAGACAATGCATTGGTAGAAGACAGGGATTCGTAGTTGGGGCACTGGTGGGGATTGTTACACAAAATATACTGCTAACCCATAAGGGAAAAAACTTTTTTTTTACTTGTTACCCCCCCCCCCTCCTCACCCCCTTAAGGATGGTTAACAGGATTTGCACCAACCGTTTCGTTGTCCAGGACTGAAAAATTTCAGACCTCTAGCTCACGTCACGAACAGACACAGGGGCGATGCCATAAGCCCGCTTATATAGCTCTTACAAAGCAGAACAGCGGGCTAAAAATATGAACAGACATACATCACCTCTTATGATGGGGTATCCAATTAGATTGGAGCCAGCAGTATCTTAATCATGGAAAAAAAAAGTTAATGTTGAAACATTGGGAACATAGATTTGCAGGTGAGGGAAGGAGGGAAAATAATTTGTCCAGTTTCTCTTCAAGAACAGGGCAATCATTGGAACAATTGCTATACAGCTCACTTCTATTGACCTGTTGTCAATACCCTGGCTCAGGGCCCTTGTGACAAGAGACAGTATAAAAGTAAATTTCTGAGGTTCAACTTCTTTCTTGGATTCTAATTCACAATGCTGATGAATGAAGTCAAAGTCAGTTTTCCTGTTCAGCAACACTGTTGTTGAACAGGCGCAGCGGAACGGGGGGGGGGGGGGTCATGGGGGTCATTGCCCCCCTGGCGAAGGCGCCCTGCAGGGTTTGCCCTTGAGTGCCTAAGGCCGGTGCCACAGGCGCCCGTTTTGCTAGAATAGCGAAAAGTGGTGCGGGCGCGAAAGGCGCCACTACTTGACTGCCACCAAAACCTAAAGTCGACACACGGGATTTCCCAAACAACCCGTATTCCGAGGCCAGGAGCCCCTGACAAAGGGGCGCCGTTTGGCCAGGAGGGACTCCGTCTGGCCCGAGATTTCGCTGGCACCCTCAGGCACCTGCCGGGTCGCTCAAAGAAGGCGGCCGATTTCACCTCAAATAGGCAGGGGATGACAGGATTACGGATAATGTGGGGTCTGCAGGCTGCGGCTGGAGCCACCCTGGCTGACTATACCATATTAGATTTGGACTTGAATTTTTCGTGTACACAGTACGGAGTGCACGGAGTACAGTCGGAGAACACTGAGTATTGCCGGTCGGAGCGCGCAGAGCACCTGTAGTACACCCGGAGTACAGTCGGAGTACGCGGGAAACTTGCAACAAAAACAGCCGCAGTACACGGAGTACAGACGGAGTACAATCGGAGAACACCTGGAGTATATTTTGGCCTGTACACAGGAGCCGCCAAGTCGTCCACGGGTGGGCGACTTGAATTTTTCGTCTACACAGGAGTACGGAGTACACGGAGTAGCTTGGAACTTGGGCACCAGAACGTTCCTGCCCTTGTGCCCCTCCGCCAGGTGTACTTCCAGGATAAGATCGCAATATTCATTTATCGTTACGAATAACACCATCTTTTGCGGGTTTCCGGAGTCAATCGGCACAATTAGTTTCTCCTTCCCGTTAATTGTCACCACGGATAACCGCCCCAATCGCCGGCCGTCCTGCAGCTTCTTCTCTTGTGCTTGTTTGGCCTCTTTTAGGTATGTGGCGTGTTGAGTAAAAAAAATTGGTGTTGTCATCTCTTTGTTTTTTCTTTATAATTTCTTGTAACTTTTCTTGAAAAACGTGGCGGTTTGGAAGTCTTGTCTCGTCCGGGTGCATATTGATGTGTTCGTCTAGAGACTCCATCGTGACTCGTGAATTTAGAATTTTGGAAGGTTGTGCCTAAAAATGGCCTGGTTGTAGGGTGAGGTAGTGTTGGCCGGGTTGGCCGTTGCGAAGTGCTGGTTGCCTAATGTCCGGGTGACAATGCAACCCGCTGAACCAGGCAAAAATACACACATCCAAATTCAAAATTTCGCACGACGATGCAGTCACTTGACGGACAGCAGAAATATGCGCGGTGCACATGCCCCCCCGACTGTCGCGTAAGTAAAATGTTCCACATTCATCTTCAATATGCTCCGAAAGATTTCTCTCTGTTTATCTTGGTGTCCCAGAAATGCGGCAAACAACCTTCTCCACCTGCAACCTGGTCCAACTGCACGAAGGGGTGTGGCACCAAGCAGTGCAGGCTTAAAGGGCCGGCCTTAAATGTAATTCTAAGTGCCGGGTGCAAAAACAAATAAGTAACAACAAGCGGAAATAATAAATCCACTATGCAACCCCTACTCCAAATGCTCTTTTTTGAGCTTGATCTGTCTTTTTATGATCCAAAACGACCCTAAAAATCCCAGGTCGCTAGCTCAATTCGTTCTCGAGTTATCGTGAGTACAGACAAACAGACACACAGACAGACGGACGGACAGACAGACGCGAAACTTTTTGATCATCACTGGAGTAATATGCTTCGCTAATCGCTCAGCCACTGACCAAGCAGACCAAGATGTGCAAGGCAGATAAAATCATAAGTGCCAATCCGTTTTAAATTCCACATTGTGTTTAAGAAAATTTTTATTGTCTATTAATTTTCCTACATGTCTGGTAATACGTGCCTCCCGGACACGTATGGGGATTTTCCTATGCATTTGTAGCAAATTACCTATTTGCTTCAGATTTTTCCCGTACAATCTTTGCGCATGGGAAAACTCCTATATACTTATGGGAATTTTCACGTCTCATATGCCATGTAGGAAATTTCTTATACTTGCGTTCTTTAAAATTCCCAACGTTTTTTACAGTGAATATCGTTACTCATAGACTGTAGTGGCGTTATCGTTACATTTACTTCAGGTAGTCTCCATTTTTAAAAAATTAATGTGACTGGTTTGTTTTTCCTACTTTCCGCGAAAACACAGTGTAGCCAAAGAGTGCTATTTAAAGGGTTCAGGATTTTCGAATTACGTCGAATTATTTTGTCTTGGCAGTCAGAATAGCCCAAACAAATTGTAAAAATTGTACTGCAATAAAATATTTTTACATTTAACAAGTTAAATCACTTTTGGTAACATGTAGGAAACATAATAGAGAAATCAGGATTACACAAAATAGTTACTTTACCAATTAAGAGAAAACGCAGCAGTTAAATATTCGTATCAGTGCTTTTATAAGTCAGCACCAACTCACTTGACCCAGAACGCTTTATTAACTCAGAACAAGATCTCCTCCAGAGTGTTTGTCGTTAAGTTTCGTGCGTTGCCATGAAAAGTCAGGTCCGGACGCCGCCTGTCTCCGTTTCGTAATGCGCGTGTTTATCCGCAGGAAAAGTTCTCGTTTTCGTTAACGTTACTGACGACCAAAATTTCATCGCGTTACCGTTAACGGTAACAGGCGTTAACGAAAACGCTGTATCGGCGTTACTCGTTAAAGTAGCGAACCCAATCCTAGTTTAAACCCATTTACTCTGGTTATTAGTAAGCGCAGTCCCCCTTCGTTGTCCAGTGATAGGGCCTAGCATTGTTGGGAAGCATATAATGTAGTTCGCGGGGGCGGCGCGGCTGAACGACAAGGCGGTGGAGTTCCACATCTCCTTCCCGGAGTCCACCACAGTCGTCAGTTAGAGTCGTATACTTGGTAGAGGGGCGCGAACGGCAGTAATGCGCTTGTGTTCTTCTCAACAATCAGAAAAACGTAATTGAAATATTTTCATCATCACCTGCCGTCCCCCCCACATAGCGGCTGTTTCTTATGAAATCGCGCGCCCACCTCGCGACGTTGCACACTCGTATTTTTCTTAAAACCTAAGCTGTGTCATTGGGATTGACAAAACTGCATACTACAAAGTTGTCAAAGCTACAGATAACAATATCTGGAAAAAGAGGGCAAAGCGTTTAGGAATAATTAGGATTCGAAAATAAGGCCTAAAAAGGCCTATGATGGTGGCAAGCCGGGCGGGTCGCGCGCTAGCCGACGATGCAGGACAAGTGAGGACCAACGGCGGCCATGTTGGGGGGGGGGGGGGGGGGGGTCGCTGCGAGCAGTTTGCGCCTGTCTACCCATCATAGGACTCTATCGTCAGTGACTTCGAGCTGGCCATCATAAACGCCTGCCGGGCAGTCCTGCCCCAAGCCAACCTACGTCTCTGCTTCTTCCACCCAGGCCAGTCAGTGTACCGCAAGGTGCAGAACCTGGGCTTGGCTGTCCTCTACAACGACCCAAACGACAGGAGTACAAAGTGGCTGTCCACCAAATGCTGACAAGGGAACGTTTTCAGGTGTAAATCTCCGATTTCGTTGGAACTCAGAAAATTTCGGGATTGTTACAATAGAAGTCGGATGGCACTTGAAATTTTTCCTAAACTTAATATCTACTAAGGGGTTTACTTCGGCCTCTACCGCCTTAACGGTTAAAAGTAGAGCAAAAAGGACAAAATTAATATTGGCCGAAAGGGCACTTCTTTGACGAGTTACCCCTTAGAACACTGCCTTACATTTTTCAAAAAAATTCTTTCCTAACACTCTACTCCTACCGTATATAGGGGAAAACTAATTGACAGGTTTAGGAAAAATTTCAAGTGCCATCCGATTTCTACATAAATAAACCTTCAAGTTTCCCAAGGACAGCTGCGAGTTCTCGCAGACTACTTTGAGGAAAACTACATTGGGTAGGGGCTGAGGCGCCTTCGAGTTGGGAGGCAGGCCCGTCCGCAGCCGCCGCGGTACGCCATCGAGGACTGGACAGCACAACGTCGCGCTTGAGGAAGAGCCGCGGACAAGGTACGGAAGTCTGCCGCACACGAACGCATAGCAAGGCGTCGTAACGTAACACATTTGTTTCTGGCCATTTTCTACATTTTCGTCAATATCTCCGGAACCATGCAAGATATTTTCACAATCTATGGCTCATTTTACAGTTCAGATGGCACTTTAAATTTGTAATCTTATGACTCATCGTGCTGAAATTGGTCCTTGTGCCCCAAAATAAATTTCGTTTTTTCGGGATAGGAAATAACGTTATTGTCTGCCCCAGAAAAACGATATTTCCTATCCTGCAGCGCGTACTTGGCCCTGCGCGGCGCCTTGATGCGGCAGTCCACTTTGTTAAAATATCTTGCACGGTTCCGGAGAAATTGACAGATATGTGGAAAATAGTCAAAACAATTTCGTTACGTTACGACACCCTGACGCAT